TGGTGGGGATGGACTTGGAGCGAACCGAGACCAGGTCGTGGCTCCTGAGTACACCTACCCATGGTAGAGGAATCCGCCAGAGGTTCCTGCAGAGTGAGAGCCTGATGTGAAGAGGCGGATATGCCAGGGCAAGGTGGATGGATGGATGAGCAAGAGCGTGGTCAGACAAGCCGAGACGGTAGCCGTGGGAGCAGTGCGGTACAAAGCAGTGGGCAGAGAATGGTCGGGTCACACGCCAGGTCAGCAACAGAAGATCAGATCCACAAGGGGGCATCCAGGAGGGAGGTCAGGCAAGCCAGGAGTCAGAGCAGGAGAGAACAGCAAGGTCAGGAACAATCCGAGTCAGCAACGATCAAGAATCACGGTAACAGGATCAGGAACACAGGGAGACCAAACGGCAATACATGTCAGCGCAGGGCGTCTCTGCCGCGGCCGGCCAGGACCTAGTGCCCGTACACTAGCGTGAATGGGCACAGTGCGCCTGCGCTGAGCCGCGGATCGTGGCGGCTCCTGACAGTAACTTACGAATCCCTGCCGCTGAAGAGCACTACTATGAGTATTTAACCCTCTGTATAACCGGTCTGTAGAGATAGCGGGATACTGACGGTTAACCAATCATCCTAGTGTATTGCTGAGTTTCCTCTTTCTCTGTATAAAAAGGAGGTGGTGGCAGTGTGAAGGGTTAATTGCGCAATTAACCTGACCCAGTAACAATCGCATTCAGGCTGCCGGTACGTTGATTGTGGTCCAATCAGCTGGAAAATCTCTACGCAGGGTGCAGCTGGGTGTGGCATTGTTACGCACGTGACATCGCGGTTTTAGATTGGCTAGTCCTTCGGTCACGAGTTTGGTGAGAAAGGCTGGGGTCTGACGCCGCGCCCATCACACTCTTTACCCAGAAATCTGAGGATTTTTCCTGAGCAGGGGATCCAACTGCTGTCCCTTTAAATGAGGTGCACAGTCACTAGTAGGAGTCTAATATGGTTTCCCACCAGAGTGCTCCTTCCTCTATCTGCCCAGGGGGTGCAGGTGTGCTCACTCAGATTGGAAGTAAGAAGGAGAGAAGCACCTCTAAGTGCAGTATCGACAATATTTATTTAGCAAGCAATGTAAAACTACTCACATTGTGTAAGATAAAGAAAGACTCAAATGGGTAAAATGGATCGCTGTGTCCTTGCTATACTGGCCGAGTCCGCACTGAGGAGACTGTGGATGTGAAGGACTGCCGGCCGGCAGGTGAACTCTCTAAAGATGGCGTCTGCAACGCACCTTGGAGCTCGACGTCGGCGTCAGCGTGATGACGTATGAGGACCAGCATGCAAAGCGAAGCATTTCGGAGCATGCGCTGAACCACTAAGGGCGGAAGCGCGCTCCCTTATCAAGCTTAGATAAGGGAGCGCACTTCACATCCACAGTCTCCTCAGTGCGGACGCGGCCAGTATAGCAAGGACACAGCGATCCATTTTATCCATTTGAGCCTTTCTTTATCTTACACAGTGTGAGTAGTTTTACATTGCTTGCTAAATAAATATTGTCAATACTGCACTTAGAGGCGCTTCTCTCCTTCTTACCTCCATACAGAGTTTGCTACAGCTACATGAAGCTAGCTCTAGTGCTATATGGACTTTATCCTGACATTGGACTTTATGACTTTAGTGTGTGTCCTTTATATATAGTGGTTGGATACCTGCTCTTTGCGCTGTTTTTCCTCAGTTCACAGTGGTTTTTGTCTTTTACTCACTCAGATTCTCTCCTGCATCACTTGCGGGTTGGCTGCTGCTACCAGACCTATCAGCTGGGCTGCTCTATCCTTGCCACACTGGTGGTTCTTGCTCAAGGGGCCAGTGAGCTCTGAGATTTCAGCCTCTTCAGTTCCAGGCTCGTAGACAGGCCCCATCCCACTAGGCCAGTGGTCGGCAAGCCGCGGCTCGCGAGCCACATGCGGCTCTTTAAACACTTCAATGCGGCTCTTCTGTGTGCCGGGCGCCCGCTCCCTCCCTCCTCTCGGGCGGCCGCCCCAAAAGTCAGGACTCTGCAGCTAGCCCAGCAATGGGCAAACTACGGCCCGGCGGACCTTTTAATCCGGACCGCGGAGCGTGGCAAACATTGGCTGTCAGGATGTAGGCGGGGCAGCGTGACGAACTCCTCTCCTCTCACAGTCCGCCCTGAAGACCGGAACGGCGCTGGGGGGAACACGGCGAGAGGAACGCGCACAAAGGTAAGTGCGACAATATGGGGAATGAATTACTATAGGGGGAATGAATTACGGGGGAGAATTAATATGGGGGATGAATTACTATATGGGGAATGAATTACTATAGGGGGGATGAATTACTATATGGGGGATGAATTACTATATGGGGGATGAATTACTATGGGGGATGAATTACTATGGGGGATGAATTACTATATGGGGGATGAATTATATATGAATTATACTATGGGGGTGAATTTATGAATTACTATGGGGATGAATTACGAATTACTATAGGGGGGATGAATTACTATATATATGGGGGGGATGAATTTATATATGGGGGATTAATTACTATGGGGGATGAATTACTATATGGGGATGAATTACTATGGGGGATGAATTACTATATGGGGTATGAATTACTATGGGGGATGAATTACTATATGGGGGATGAATTACTATATGGGGGATTAATTACTATGGGGGATGAATTACTATATTATTATTATTATTATACAGTATTTATAAAGCGCCAATAGTTCGCTCAGCGCTGTACATTACAAAGGGGGACAGAACATGTGACAGAACAATACCAATACAATGTGATACACGAGGGGTTTGAGGGCCCTGCTCTTTCGAGCTTACTATATGGGGGATGAATTACTATGGGGGATGAATTACTATATGGGGGATGAATTACTATGGGGGATGAATTACTATATGGGGGATGAATTACTATGGGGGATGAATTACTATATGGGGGATGAATTTCTATGGGGGATGAATTACTATATGGGGGGATGAATTACTATATGGGGTTGAATTACTATATGGGGGATGAATTACTATATGGGGGATGAATTACTATGGGGGATGAATTACTATATGGGGGATGAATTACTATGGGGGATGAATTACTATGGGGGATGAATTACTATAGGGGGGATGAATTACTATGGGGGATGAATTACTATAGGGGGGATGAATTACTATGGGGGATGAATTACTATGGGGGATGAATTACTATATGGGGGATGAATTACTATGGGGGATGAATTACTATATGGGGGATGAATTACTATGGGGGATGAATTACTATATGGGGGATGTATTTTCAGTTTTAAAAATGTGGCTCTCAAAATAAATTTCAATTGTGGTTTTGGCGAGATTTGGCTCAGTTGAAAAAAAAGGTTGCCCACCACTGCACTAGGCCAACTGGCAGCCTTCCTCCTCCAGCCTCACATCTGCTTACTCTCTCCATCCGACTCCTCACATTCCCCCAGCTGAATAGGCTCCTACACTTTTAAAGGGGCCCCAGCCCCTTGCCAAGCCTTCTGTTGGGAATTGGCTGAGGTCCCCCAGGAGTGTAGCCAGCCACTCCTCAGATCAACCCACTGCCTCCATGGCCGTCCCCTGAAAGCCTTAGAGCAGAGGGAAGGGGCTGGCCAGCAGAGTCTCTCAGCCCTGACCACAATTTGACCCCTCCGGCTATTACGCCTGAGCTGCTAACCAGCTCCTGTCTAACCATTAGGATCTATCTCCCCCTAGATAAACTAGGACGGTGTTACATTGGCATTTGATTTTTTTTTCTGCCCATAAACATCTCTCTATGTTAGCGTATGTGTTTATGCACTCATAGGAGTTTATAGGCATTCAGAGGCAGGGGTGTTTAGGGGCAGAAATCTGAATGTACCAAAATCACGTTCAAAAGAGGAGCTTTTGGGCAGAAAAAAAGCCAGACACGTCTAAACACATGTAAACACGCCATGATGCTCGGCACGTTTAGCACTTGAGCGTTCATTCATTAATTTCATTAACCAGAATAAATTACATATCTGGCCAATTAAATGAATAAACGCCCAATAGTCTAAACAAATCTAAAAGATGCAGTTAAAAAATGTGGCTTTAGGCGCATTTTTAAACACTGCACTTCTTCTTTTAGGAGAAGAGCATTCAGAAGGACCTAGTGTGCATGAGCCCTTAGTTTTTCGCAGAGATAGGGTACAGGAAAAACATTGTCTTTTCACACTTCAAAAGACTAAAAAATATCTTCTATACTGCAATTGGCTTAGGTAAAATTGCCATTGGATTCAACTTCTGTGTTTTACTGAAGAGTTAAGCTGCCTGTGGATAGTGCCAAGTCAGCAGGTGACTATACTGTCTAGCAGACTGGGACTAAGGAGGTATGTTGATGCATGAAGCAGCATTTGAAACAGATCAATAAGGGCTTTAGAACTGGATGGACTGGGAATATGTGGACTCTATGGTAGGGTGACCAGATGTTCCCGTTTTTCCAGGGACAGTCCCTAATTTTTGGTGGCTGTCCCCAGGAAAAAAATATCACTGATTTCATCCTTGGGTTAAAAGAATGTGTCTCCAATTTCTTTTCAGCCTTATCAATGGTGTCCTGGATGGTTGCAAGGAAATCCATCTTATCTACATTTCTGTGATTGGCCTGGAGCAGGAGGAGAGAGGGGAGGGGCATGTCTTTTCCCGACTATGTTCAGGGTTATTGATGATGTCACATGCCGATATTATATGGTCTTCCAAGTCCCTCCCATCACGGCTTCATTGCAGGAGGTAGGGATGTGGATTATTTGCTGTCTGGCCCCTGTTTGTGATGGTGACCTGCAATGCTCACCTGGGCCTGCACTATAGACCCAGAGCAAAAGTAGGCTCAGGTGATATCACACCATAACCCTTTAGGTCCCTCCCACTGTTACCACACTTTGTCCACACCCAACACTTGGTGTGGCACACTTTGCATGTCGCTGTTAACCCCACCCCCTGCTCCGCCCTGTCCCACCATCAAGTGGGTGTGGTCAGTAAGGTGTCTCCAGCTTTCATTTTGAAGATCAGGTAACCTTACTCTATGGCAGTGTTTCTCAACTCCAGTCCTCATGGACCTCCAACAGGTCATGTTTTCAGGATTTCCCTCAGATGAAACAGCTGTGGTAATTACTAAGGCAGTGAAACTGATCAAATCACCTGTGCAAAATAATGGAAATCCTGAAAACATAACCTGTTGGGGGTCCATGAGGACTGGAGTTGAGAAACACTGCTCTATGGAACTTAGCAAAAGGAGTTTGTTGAGACATTTGTATCCATGTAGGCGGAGCCTAGGCCCAGGGTACCCAATCAGGGAGAGACCACACATACAGTCCTTGATATTGTAATGATCTGTCGCTGACCTATCACTTGCTCTGGGCACACCTCCATATGACGTGGGTTCCCCATACCTCCCAACTTTCTAAGATGGGAACGAGGGACACCTACTAGCAAAATTATGTAGGCATAGGACACACCCCCTGCCACGCCCTCTTAAAGGAGAATTATACAAAAAAATTGTTCTTTGAACCCACAAATATTTTGGCTTTGGAAATTTACAAATGCAAAAATTTAGAAATTGGATGAAAGGTTTGGTACTGTGAAATGCTTTTTAAAACATAAAACGTGCAATTTATATACTATATGGATCAAACCAAAATGAGTGACAAAGGATTAGGAAAGAGGGACAGAGGGGCTTTGTTCCAAATGAGGGACAGTCCCTCGAAATCAGGGACAGTTGGGAGCTATGGTACCCTATATCAGGTGTCACACCAAGATGGCTGCTGGAGATCTCGAGAGGTTCGATCAGACAGCTGGCTCCTCGGAGATACTGACATGTCCCTGGCGGACTCTACTCCATCTGTAATAATGGCGCCATGGCTCATAAGCATGCAGCTCATAATCAAAGGTCCTGGCTAATAGCCCAATGTATTGTAATCATGCATCCAGCAGTACTCAGACTGGGGAGAGGGAGTGATAGGACTGGGAGCTGCATGTCCTGACATGGAACATGATGGTAAGAGAAGAGAACCAAATGGACAAAGGGGTGACCCTTGCTGCTCCCTTGATGTCCAGTCACAGGCTGGGGGAGGAGAGAGGACATCATTCTCCACCTTCTAGAGTCTAAGGGCTTGGCACACACTATAGAAACATGGTCTGCATGCTCTTTTTTTATATGTCTTTGATGCGTTCCGGTGCATTTTTTATGCATTTTAATATACGTTCCAGATGCTTTTTTTCCTCTCTTCTTTTTGGATCTTTTGGGATCCAGTGCATTGTTGATGCATTTTTATGTGTTTTGCTGTTTTCCAGTGCATTTTTTATGCATTTTAAGATGCATTCCATATGGGTTTTTTTCTCTTCTTTTTGGATCATTTGGGGTCCAGTGCATTGTTGATGCATTTTTATGTGTTTTGCCATCTTCTGGTGCATTTTTGATGCATTTTGCCACGTTCCAGTACAGTTCTGTGCAAGAAAAATGCAGCATGTTCTACCTTTATTTTTATGGAACCGGAACCCAGTGGAACTGCAAGCACTGGTGTTATCCATGCCATTGCCAGCCATGTAACCTATGTTCTGTGCATTTTGGATGCAGAAACCCCCCCCCCGCTGGAACACATGTAGTGTGAATCAGCCCTAAAACTGTGTCGTCCACCTGTGTGACAGAACTGTACATCTTCAGAACATTTGGACTTTATGGGAATCAGTAACAAAAGTTTGTTAAGACACTGACGTTCCTCCTGCTTAATAGCTCAATTGCTCATAGTCAAGCACGCGGCTCATAGTCAGGCATCCTAGTTGACTACAAGCCACTAAGCTATTAACCAGAAGGGACGTCAGTGTCTTAACAAACTCCTTTTGCCAAGTCCCAAAGGGGTTTATTTACTAAAGCTCTCTAGCTCCCTTGTCTCCCCCTCCCATGCTCATCTCTAGGACTTCTTCAGAGCCTCCCCCATCCTCTGGAACTCCCTACCTCAATCTATCCAACTATGGCCTACTATGCCCACTTTTAGGCGATCTCTGAAAACCTTTCTCTTCAGGGAAGCCTATCCTGCCTCCAGCTAATAACGGAATCTTCTATTCCTGCTATCAGTTCATCCCAAAATTATTATCTTTTGTACCACCAGCCCCTCCCTCTTAGATTGTAAGTTCCCAGGACCAGGGCCCTCCTATCCTTTTGTATTGAACTGTATTGCTGCTGTATTGTCTCTCTTTGTATTGTAAAGCACTGAGAAAACTGTTGGCGCTATATAAATCCTGTATAATAATAATAATAATAATAATAATAATAATAAAGCTGGAGAGTGCAAAATCAGGCTCACTTCTGCATAGAAACCAATCAGCTTCTAACCTCAGCTTGTTCAATTAAGCTATGACAATAAAACCTGGAAGCTGATTGGTTTCTGTACAGAAGTGAGCCTGATTTTGCACTCTCCAGCTTTAGTAAATAAACCTCATAGAGTCCAAATATTCCCAGCTCATAAAGTTCTAAAGCCTTGATGAAAACAGAGTTTTGGAGCCCCTGAAATGCGTTGGACTTTTACCCTATTTTAATCTGATATCAATCAACATGGACTCTCATTGATGTGGCACTCTCGATACATTCTGAACTATTGGGGATGTATTGATAAAACATTTTCAAAGCTATTCATCTTGCAAAACTGCATGTACATTTGTTCTGTGTGAATGGGGACATAACCAAATGTTGCTAGGTTATTTTCTATCCAGGTTGGATGTTCTTTGTTCATAATCAAGGTCTGATATTCTTTATTATGGCCACTAGATGGAGCTGATGATCAAAGAAAATAAATACTTATTTACTATGACTTATCAGCGCCATCTAGAGGCCATAATGTGGTATTTTCCTGCTTCACACTATATTCGATCTGGAGAGAAAAAAACTTTTGTCCATTATTTCAGAAAACAAATGTATACACAGTTTCACAGGATGAATAGCTCTGCAAATTTTTTTTTATGTGTCCTCTTTAGACTTTCTCCAGGGTGTCAGATTTGGAGCAATCTGGCCCTAGGTAGCAGACTAGCCTAGATCAGTTAGCTCCATCAATGAGATTTGACTTTGGGAATGCAGGATTGCACTAGTAAAGGTGCCAGCACCTCACATCCTCACTTTTTAGCAATTTATTGCTACTGAGGAAGACTTCAAATCTATACTGGACAAGGGTGTGTTTCCCTACGCACCATCTGGCTAATTGATGAATCTAAAATATATAAACTTTATTCAAATATATACAAAATGTATGCTCAGCTGTAATTAATGCCTATTGGAGTGGAATGTATTGCGCACAACAATATGACTGGATACCATTGCAATTACTTACCGTACATCCAAATGGTTAATAACACCAGACCAAGTCAAATACCATACCGTTTTAGATGAAGTGACGGCATACAAAGAGGCACCGTAGTTTGATCGTAAACCTATCAGCTTGAATATATAATCTCTGTTAAGGAAATGGAGTTACCCCATGGACAAAACGAATTAGACAGTATAATCTATCTTGCTACAGATATGTAATACGGGTACACTCATCCATGGGCTTAAATGTCAGCTTCTCATGGATAAGCCCCATACATCACCATATCCACCAAAAATACCTCACTGTCTTGAGGAATGCAAATGACGCACTGTAAAACGCAGTACAGACCTTCCCCCCAAAAAAACTGAGGAAGTCTTCTCTTACTACCTGTCCAGAGGAAGGTGCTAGATAGAATAGGAAGAGAAATCTCAACTTTCTAACTTATCTTCACCTTATCCAAAACTCAGAAATGTTTTGACTATAATTGGGCATTTTTTTCTTCCAGCCAACAGCTGGTCTACAGCAGTGTTTCTCAACTCCAGTCCTCATGGACCCCCAACAGGTCATGTTTTCAGGATTTCCCTCAGATGAAACAGCTGTGGTAAATACTAAGGCAGTGAAACTGATCAAATCACCTGTGCAAAATAATGGAAATCCTGAAAACATGACCTGTTGGGGGTCCATGAGGGCTGGAGTTGAGAAACACTGGTCTACAGCAACAGCCCATCGGGTCCCTCCAGAGATGGTGCACAAATGCATTGTAAATGTTTCGATAACAGAGGCTAGGCTGATTCTTGCACATGCTAAAAAACTCCAGAAAGCTCCCCCACCCCACCCATCTGGTATGACACCATAGGTGTGTATTGTGGCGGTGCGGTATCCTGCCACGGTGGAAATCACGATGGAGACCCAGGATTCTCAACCATACAGGTTGAGGGGCTCCAGGCAGTTCTCATAATGCTGAGGAAACTGGTTTATAAGTTTCCTCTTTGGTTTGTAAAGCCTGTTTTGGGACCTGTAGCCTGGAGATTTCTAAGAGATTTGGGAGGGATGAAATCTCCAATCCTGGGCCCATATTTTGAGAGCAGCCAGCACACTGATTGCACAGGTGTGCGCAGGCCAGGTCATGATTCTGAGCTCCACCCCGGCAGATAGGAGTCAGGAGGGCTCCACCTGGAAGACAGGAGTCAGGAGGGCTCCACCAAGGAGAGGTGGAAGCCAAAAGCGGCAAGGAGCTGCTTGGGAGTAGCTGTGTGCTAGAGGTTTGCTGTGTGCAAAAACAAACTTGTGGAAGGAGTCTGTAGGAGACATATATAAAGCGGTATAGCTGAAAGAGCCAGAGGGCTGAATTTGTGTGATGGTGGATACCCCTGCGTGGGAAGCATTTTTGTTATTTGAACTTTCTTGTAAATAAAATTGGGCAAAAAGGCCCTTAAAAAGAAGCGAGTTGCTGTGTTTTGAAGAAGCTCTACCATTAAGAAGCGAGTTCCCACAGTATGTATAAATAAAATGTGCTTGGGGTGTATTTATACTACATTTGCATAACAATTCACCCAGTAAAAATCCATGCACATGTGATCTGTGCGAATGGGACAAAAAAAACAAATGTTATTAGGCTATTTGCTGTACTGCTTGAATGTTTTTCATTGATTTAAAAAAAAAAAAAAAGAAATACTGCATTTGGCTACTAGATGGTGCTAAGTATCATAGGAAATAGAGTGCCATCTAATGGCTAGATTTGGTATTTTCTGTTTTGAATCAATGAAAAACATTCAGCCAGCACAGGTTATAGTTTAATAACATTCTTTTGTCCTATTTGTACAGAACAAATATTTTAAATATAATATAACAAAATATTAACAAGCCTATTAATATAAAATTTGGCTTTGCAGAATTGTCCTTGGTGCCCTTCTGCTGCTTGCCTAGGATGTTGGGACTATCCAGGCTGGGCTCATATACAGCGATTGTTCTGAAACCATTCGGTGGAATATGGTGTCCAGGCTGCAGCTCAACCGCTTTCCAACGAAACATTAAAAAGAGATTAATTTCTCATTTGGAAGTTAGCAGGATCGTCTGTCTCCTCCTTCCCTGCTGACCCCCGGCTCTCTCCTGCATCCTTGATGACTAATCTGCACACTTTAAATGTAATTACGTTCATTTGGGCATAAAGCGTAAGGTGGCGTGGCAGCATTGCTGAGAAACTGTCCTGTAATATTGACAATCAAAGCCTTAGGAACAAGGGAATGAAAGCTGCATAAAGGGGAACTCCACTCCAAATGTTAAGCGCTGGATACTGTTTGTAAAATAAAAAAAGAGAATAGTCCTGGTCACTGCTTCATCAGCAAACTCTCATCCTGGAAGATGCTCAAGCATTCCCCCACAACGGTCACATATAGCGAAAGAGAGGACTCTCATAGTTTAATAAAGTTAAAACGTCACATTTATTAAAATTAAAGTGCGCACTCACATATATAAAAAAAAGCCCAACATGGCTACCTCACATTGCATGCATCTGACCGGCATAGACTCTCCTTCCGATCTTAATTCTGGTAAAGCATGCGTGATGACGTCACATCCATTGGCCCCATCTAACGCATTTCATCATAGTAGATGTCATCGGGGAGTGGCCTAATCAAGAAATGCACTGACCTCCATGGAGAAAAGCTAAGGTTCTCAGTTCGGTTTAGGTCACCCCTTTCCACAAATTCTGACGCACCAGTGATTTGGGCAGATGGTAGGATTGTAGAAAAAATAGTGTAGCACTAATCAAACTTTGCGTACCATCATCATAATGTAATTCTGTGCAGTACAAGCAATAGATAAAGATAAAAGATAAATCAATATGCAAAAGATATTGTAAACAGTACAAAAAATAGTGTCTCAAAAATAACAATAACAACCATACAATAGTCGAAAAAGTCCCATAATAATAATCTCAGTGCAAAAAAAAAACGTGCAAAGATGAAAGAGATTCAATTGGATGTGAAAAAACTAAACAGTAAAAACTAAAAAGTAATTAAAAAAAGCTACTCACTAAGTTAGTGCACAACAGTAGCATCACTTTAACATTACGTAGGATGTCCCCTTGAAGCCTGGGAATTGGCATCAGCTTACTGGGCAAACTCCAGACTATCAATTCTGGGTTGACGTGATGACGCCACACTGCTGCTCCCCAACTCGTTTCGTCACATCCACCCGAGACTTCCGGAATGGACAATAGTATTTAATGTGTGGCGTGCAGACATCCCCTCCAAGTCCCCAATAATGTCAGTTGAGACGAAACATGTAGGGTGGAGTTGACATTGTAAAGTCACCATGCACAAATGGATGGAAAATTGATCCACACAGACTCTCTGGAGTATTTTGTTATACAAAGTGCTGTGTTGATTTTAACATGTGAAAAGATTTAGTTTATTTTAATAATCTTTATTCATGGTTTTGTGTTATGTGGAGCATCTGGTTCTTCGATATGTCTCCTTATATGATCCTGTGAATTGTAAACCAAGTTGTCTAGTGGGGAGAGGCTGCAAGATCCTGAATTCATCTGGTTTGCCAGATGGTTACATCGCCCTGTGTGCTTTATGACTTCTCTGATTCAGGGGGTCATGGCTTTGTGGTAAGCCTCTTGTGTGAAATTAAGCAGGGGAGCATGCTGAATTATGATTGGTTGTGGTGTGACAAGCAGATCACTTGATGTCAATAATGATAATGTCATTTACCACTGTGTATACTCCCACATGTGTGACTCTATAGTCACATGGGTGGCTCAGATGTGATAGAGAGGAAATGCTCGGCATAGAAACTCACTGAAAACTGACCATGTGGAGAGTCGCCACCACGGCTGCAAAATCTCCAGCTGAACTGGGGACATGGACAGAATGGGGAGATAGAGAACAGTAGGATCAACCAGGTTTTTTGCAGAATACAGAAAACAAATCTCATAGTGACTGAGTGAGTATGAACAGCATGTAATACAGCATTTATTGATAGTTTTTTTATGATGTAGTTTTAGTGACACTTTAAAGGCATAATCTACCTATTTGTAAATGCACCAGCACTGATATATCATGTATACATGTAGCACCCTCCTAGTTTAGCTAGGGGGAGCTGGATCCTTATGGTTAGTCAGGAGCTGGTTAGCAGCTCAGGTGAGATAACCAGAGGGGTCAATTTCTGGTCAGCACTGAGAAACTCTGCACGCTAGCCCCTCTGGAAGTTCCCCCTGCCCTGAGGCTTTCGGAGGAGGGTCTTGGAGGCAGTGGGTGGATCTGAGGAGTGGCTGGCTGCACTCTTGAGGGACCTCAGCCAATCTCCAACAGAAGGCTTGGCAAGAGGCTGGGACTCCCTTAAAAGTGTAGGAGCCTGTTCAATAACAGGAGTATGAAGGTGGGAGAGGAGTGTGATGCAGGAAGATGTGATGCTGGAGGTGGAAGGCTGCCTGGAGGTCCAGTGACATGGGGCATGCCTGCGAGCCTGGAGCTGGAAAGGAGGAAAACTCAGGACTTGCTGGCCCCCTGAGCAGGTCCACCTGTATGGAAGGGAAGGAGCAGCCCAGCTGATAGGCCTGGCAGCAGCAGCCATCCCGCATGCAATACAGGAGAGGAATTGAATAAGTACACCTGCACCCCCAGGGCGGATAGGAGAAGGAGCCAGATCCCTTGCTCAGGAGTTCATCTAAGGTCTGGGGTGGTACAACTAGGAGCTTCTAGCTAGCACTCCAACAGAGACTGCTTCATAGAAGGAGAAGTGTGTGAATAGTCCAGCAAGTTGTCCTCAGATTTCAGTTCCCTTGGTCATCCAACACTCCCCTTACCCCATCCAAGTTCTAATCCCCTCATAAATATCAAAACCAAAGCTCAAGGACTGGTTTCTGTCTCTGGATGAAAGTTTGTCCGGAAAATTCTAAATAACTGGTTGTGCAGGACTATTGGGGGACCCAAATTCTTCAGCAATAACTAAGGGGGTAGTGCTACATACAGTAAGCAAAAGAATCATCTACTACATTTTTGCAGGGTGGGGAGCAGGGGCGGACTGACAACTCATGGGCCCCCGGGCAATAGGGGATCATGGGGCCCCTGTATCCTTGCCCAAACTCAAAAAAGCCAATGAAAAAGGTACCAGGGGCATCTCATGGGGCCCCCTACTGACCCCGGGCCCTCGGGCAGTGCCCGAGTTTCCAAATGGTCAGTCCGCCCCTGGTGGGGTGGATCACTGGCGCTCTACCAGGGACAGTTAAAGTGGAGAGGAAAGGCTAGATGATGCTGGATGTCCTCCAGCCAGGAAATGAGGTGGAATCTATCTGACTTGCTGGCAGCTTCTAATGCACATTGTGAGAATCCCACAGTGTGCAGTGAAATCAGAGTAAGCCATTTCAATCCAGGAGAAGAGCCGGTACAATTGTGCAAGACTGAAGAGAAGGCCGGAGCTTTAAATCCTGGCAGTATGAAGAGTTTTCAGCAGTAATTCGGGATCTGTATTCCCAGCACATTGTTATCTTTCATATATCTCTCGCGGCAACCCTCACCCACCTGCTGTGCGCTCATGACGTCCATATGGCTCGGGTCTCTGGTGGAATCCATATTTGCAGACAAGGTATTTCATTCATTACCGGTGGTATTACAGATGGCATCCTACAAGACGAGCAAATGATTCCCTGCGTACCCTGAGCTCCGCACCTACTTAGGCATCATTAGATGTTCTGTTCCGTCTCTGTGACACGTCATCTTTACTTTATCAGCGGCAAACGAGATCC